ACACCATTCTGGAGCCATTCGTGCCGGTGAATGCACATGACATGTTCATTTGGGTGGGATTGGCGACAGTGACATTCGTTATTTTTTTCATGAATCTAAATGCATTCCGATTAATTTTCCGATGTCTGTGATTGCACGGCCATGTTCATCAGAACGGATTGGACACTGCACACTCAGACCTTGCGATGATACCATTCATCCCGGATGCACGGCTCCAGCATTCCATTTCTTTTCATGTCGACAATTTTCCAATTTTTTGGCAGGTCGGCATTCTAAGCCTAAACAAAGCTCCAGTTGTGTGACACAGCGCTTTGAGACTCGGCAGTTATACAACAACTTTTGCTCACTTTGTCACTGTTGGTTTTACTTGCACCGCTGCTGCACATAGATCCACCACGTCGCCCCATGTCAGCGTATGCAGAAAGCTCACCCAGCTTCAAACATCGCTGCAAGGAGATAGGCTTCAGTCAAGGCGAGGTCCAATGTCTGATTGATCAGAACATCAAATGCTTCAACAACCTTGCTCTCGCAGTATGTGGCCAACCGGGCCAACTTGACTCAACTAGGTTTCAGCAGGTCATGGATGGAGCTTTCAACTCCCCAACCTTGGGCCTTGAATCCATGATGCGCCAGCTGAGTTACGAGGCCATAACAGTTGCAGTTGCTGCGATTAAACAGAGAGTGGAGCCACAGGCTGAAGAAGCTGCCACCGCAGGAAAGAGATGTGATGAGAGGATCAAACGTCAGTCGGAGAAAATCACTGGTTTTGCAATTCAGGGCGAACACGAGCCAGGCCTTGATTTTTTCACGACCATGCTTGATGAATGCGCTCCCAAATACTTGCCTTTTTCCAAATGCATCAGCAGGGAACAAGAGCTTCAAACGATGAAAGCTGACAAGAGGATCATTGTCTTGGAGGAGCAACAACTTCAGGCGAAAAACCGTGCACCTAAGGCAACAGCTGACTTGTCAACTGGCTTGAAGGTTGCGAATGCATTTGTGAGGCGGGGACTAGCATGCGAACAAGCAGGACTCCTCACATACGAGACCCATGAAAAGATCAGACATGCTTTCATGTCACACATGTCAAGAACCGCACCGCCATGGTTCCGAGCTCCTGACATTGCTGCTGTTTTGCGAGCAGACCGTGAGTTGTGGATGAAAGCGTTCGAGTTGTGCAGATCAAATTTGCGGGTCGATGCAGATGGCAAACACCCACTGGATACAGCCTTGCTGCAGTTGTACAACTCTGCTGAAGTTGTTTTCAATCTGTTGCCTACCCCTGGAAGTGCCCCTGTCAAGCGTGCGAGGTCTCCAGCTGCAGCCTGACAGCCCTGAGACAAAGGCGCCAAAAGCTAAGGCTACACCGAAACCGGCCAACCGCAGACCAAAGGATGACAGGGTCAAGGTGCCTGAGGCGCTCAAAGGTTTTTCAGCAGTTAACAAGAGCAAAGCGAGCATCTGTTACAACTTCAACTTGCCGCATGGCTGCTCCAACAGCAGTCACGAGAAGGACGGGCATCTACGATGTGTCAAGGGAAACCATGAGTGCATCAAGTGCGGTGGCAAGCATGGGCTACAAAGTTGTCATAAGAAGTGACAAATGGCAGCCGCAATCCCACCCTGTCTTACAAAAGCAGTTTGTGTTGAGATTTTTTGCGGCAAAAAAAGGCTTTCTAGGCGTTTGCGCGCCAAACAGTTTCAAGTGATTTCTGATATTTCTGTCGATCACCTGGCATCCAAGGGGATCCCAATTTTGAGGATCGACGTTAGCAAAAAGAGCCAACGGCTTGTTCTTGAGGAATTGTTGCGACTGGATTGCAGCCTCTACGTCCACTTCGCGCCCCCTTGCGGCACTGCCAGTGCGGCTCGCTCCATCAAGCCTGGGCCTCCACCACTTAGGTCCATCAATTTTCCAATGGAACTTAAAGGCCTTTCTTTTGTGCAGTGGGCCAGAGTCTCAGCAGCCAATTTTCTTTATCAATGGACTTGGAAAATGATCCAAGAGCTTGACGCCAGAAACGTTGGGTGGAGTGTGGAAACCCCGCACCTAGAGGGGCGTATCGTGGGTTTTTCTTGGGGTTAGGAGATAGGGGGGTTTCTTGGGGGTAGGATTTTGAAGGTCCTTGTGTTTTTGCAGTTCCAGAATGTGATGGACATAATGGCTTAAATCTGTTAAGAGTACCTTTTGCTCATCTTAGCTCGAAACTAATCAGATTCAGCATGGTTGATGTGGGCATGATCAATTGAATCGTTTTCGAATGTAATGTGCATCTACATATGTGCTCAAGTGGAGGGGGGGGTTCACTTCGGGCTCACGAGTTGCTGCGGCCTCAGATTATAACTTGCATTATTGAGCAAGCTCGTAACAGACACGCATGACATGTATAGGCCATTTGCATGAATTTCCATGCATGAATGACATAAGTACATGAGGTCTACATGAGGCATACATGAGGTCCACATGCCATGCCATGCACATGTTGCATATCATGCAAAATCATTGGAGTATAAATCATGATATGTATATATATATATATACATAGATAGATAGGTAGATAGATAGATAGATATCTAACGCAGGTTTTTGGTTCAGAACATGTCACGGCTGCGATGTCACAGGATGAGCAACTACAGGACTCCTGGCTGTCATGTGGATATCATGTCTGCATTCTTGTGATTGTTGCAGGATGCCATGCGACGCTTGGAGCAGATGCAAAAGTCACACGAGGCATGGTCACTGTTCATCATTTTGTGTTTTTGTTGCTGCGTCGTTGGCATGCAGGCTGGAGCGAAGCCGAAGCATGCTGCACGACCGCCAGCAGCTGTTCTAGACGCGGCAGGTCCAAGGTCACCGACTCCAGCACCTACGGAAGTTCCCTCTCCTCCGCCTGAGGGTCCGACCTTTGTGGCTGAGGAACCTACTGTGACTGAAGAACCTACCTGTTGGGTTGAGGAACCTACCTGTCTGCCGGAGAATGAAATGACAGACTTGGATAAATTGATGCCTGTTGATGACAAGGCAGAGCCAGAGCCGGTTCCAGCTGTGCCTCATGTTGCGTCAGATTCCAAAGATGACCCCATGGTACAGGTGAAAGATGTCTTGAAAAGTGTCAGTAAAGGTGATGTGCCAATTTATGATGATGACAACCCACCTTCGACGTCCAGTGAAGAAGGGCCTGCACCGACACCTGGAAGCGCGAGGGGACTCCTAAAGCTGGCCAAACAGGAGGCCAGTTTTTTTTCATTCTTATTTTTTCAAGAAGGAGATTCTCTGATCTGCAGTTGCGATGTTTTGTTCTAGCTCTGCTTTGCCTGCAGTACTGGGAACGTAAAGCTCAACAAGCTCGAGTGCCAAAAGCGATGCCAAAGCGCATGGTCCAAAAGGTTTCGAAACCAACCATGATGAGGCCTGGGCTTACAATATCGCAATTTAACAGTGACCACAGTGGTGTTTTTTTTCTGGCAGGGTGGGCAATTGGTCGATTTGCAAGCCTCCTCCACCGGTGAGGCGACTGGATTTATTGCATGCGCATGTGACAATTTTTCTTTCACAGTTGATGCCACCCCTGGCTGCAGGCGATGTCAGAAGTAGCCCTGCAGATGTTGCGAGCGGCAAGGGAAAAAACTGCACGCAGATCATATGATTCATGTCATGCATGGCCTGGAGCGTCCTTGTGTCCATTTGTCGGGAGTAGGACGATTCTTGGCGCCTAGGTCTGCAGGGTCATGGCGTTTTTGCCTCTGGCCCAGTGTTTTTTTTGAGTTAGCCGTTGACCCTGTGTTTTTCTGATGCGTGCCAGCAGCTCCTTTCAGGTGCTTCTACGAATGGTCTGGGCCTCAGTCAGTGGGGTGGGCGGGGGTCACGTGAACATGTCATGTCATGACTTATCATGTTCATGAACTTGGTTCCATGCATGGTGTTTCATGTGTTCATGGCATGTGTTTTCATCATGGTTCATGTTCAAATCCATGCATGGCATGTTGTTACATCATGGTGGTTCATGTTCATGACATGTAGTTTCACCATGGTGGTTCATGTCATGTCCAAAGGGGGGGTGATGATCATGCTTCATCATGGCAAGGGTTTGTTCATGACATGTTTGTTCCACGCATGGTAGTTTCATCGCATGACATGTCGCTTATCATTCCTAATGGTTTTTGGTCATGTTATGTCAATTGATCACGCATGATGGTTTATGTTCATGTCAGTCATGGTTCATGCCCTTTTGGGAGAGGGGTCATGTGTCCTGTTGTCTCACCCAGCAATGGCAGGGTTTCGTTTATAAGGCGATGGCATGTGGGATATCTTTATTGCAATCAGGGTTTGTCAATGGGGATGTGTATGTAAAATTAGAAACTATACCTTCGAATAAACATGTTTGATAAAACAATCCATGTTTTGACCGCAGCAAATTGATATTTTAACCAATGTATTGGTTGACCGCACCTTTCTTCAGAATACCTAACCCTCAGATTCCTCCTCTTCTCGTCCCAGGTGAGAACGGGATATTGCTCATGGGAACACTATGAGCCTTGCAGTGCGCGTGGAATGGGCAGTGCTGCTATACCAATGCTCCCTGCAACCTGTTCATTGATTGGGCATGTACATGTTTGGACAATATAGCCTTTTGGCTTTTTTTTTGGCAAAGCGGGTAGGCTTTGCCTGGGCACTGCCAGTGCTCATGGTGAAAAAGCTGGAAATTGTCAAGCAATTTCCCGACATAGTCTCCCAATATGCTGCTGCAATGGCCAAAGAGCCACGGTTGATGCAGGTGCGCTGTGAAATATAGGGTTGAAAATGACATTCATGATCATGTCAGTTACAATTTCATGTCCGCTATGATTGCTGCAGGTGGGCTTCAGTTTGGTGCAAGCGCACTCGGACAAACTCTTTTCCAAAAAATGTGAATGCACATTGGAGGACATAGAGTTGAACCCGGAGGCACGAATATCTATCATCATGTCCCTTTTTCAAGTTTCATTCGCAACACATGTTCATGGCATTTCTTGATGTCTACTGGCAGGTGGTGCACGCCATCATGACTGTGACACCGTGGGCGCGCATCTCTGAAGAGGTGCTGCGTAAAGCAATCCTGGAAATGTACACCAGCAACTCGCTCATCCCAACCGGGATTTCCATAGAGGCAATGGGAAACTGGTGTGAAAAGATGGCATTTTGCATTCACAAAGTGGTACGGCGCTTTAGGAAGCTCTACACTGAAAGTCCTACCAGCAGTAAGAGTGCCAAAATGCAGGCCTTGAAGGATCGCTGCATGAAAAGCGGTGTGCCAGTCTTGAAGCCGCAGGACTCCAGTGACTCTCTGGGCTCCACAACTCCTCGGTCCGCCTCTGCAACTGATTTGGAAAAAGTCAGTCCTCCTCCGGTGGATCTGGCCAAAATTCTGCAAAGATTACGCCAAAAAAGAATCGATTTGGCAGAGTCAAATGCCGAGTCTGTGGAGGAAGCTGCGCCGGAGGTTGCCTCGAAGGCACCTGCTTCGGATGAGACTGTCCGGACCCGACCTGTGGCAACACCAGCCAGAGCTCTGCCAAAGGACGCAGCTGTTGCGAACAAATGGTTGCTGCCCAACTATGTACTCCAGCAATTGCAGAAAAAGGAGGAATACGTTCGGCCTTTTGACACTCAGGGCGCTGATGATGGTGAGGACGTTGGTGCGATCGATGCTGAACTAGCTGAAGCACCGAAAAAGAAGGGCAAGACGAAAGAGAAAAGGAAACGGCAGAACCGCAGAAAACCAAAGCCAAAAAAAACGAGACCTTTGCAGCAGAAGATGAAGCAGCTTTGACGCAGGAAGCAGCTGGCATGCCTGCAGCTCAGGCTGCAGAAGCTGAGGCGAATGCACCTGCAGGGCCTGCTGCCGAGCAGGCTGAATCTACAAAGCTCTATGTGCCTGGCGGTGAAGCTCGCAAAAAAATCATCAAGGCTGCCAGGGCTGAGCAAGGCATCAAACATGCTGCAGCCAATGAATTGTGGATGGCCTCTGACTTGAGGGCATCGTACTTGTCAGAGATGAGTCCTTCGGAAATGAAGAAACGTCGCTTCATGTGATAACATGTGGAGCCGCAATTAATTTGAAACTTCTTTGTGGTAATTGCCACATTGTGTGTTCTGACCAGCTTGGGGTTCAAACTTGCTGCCTAATTCCTGCAGAGTTTCATGTTGTGTCACTGGATTTTGCAGTAAAGCCTGCAAACATGCTTCCTGTGCACTCTGTTGTGGCCGCCTCTTCTTTACCGCCTTTTTTTGCCTCACTCCAGTCTGCGCCTCGTACTTCTGAAGATGTTGGCAGACATGTTGCGGTGGAAAGCTCCTTTGGTCCTCATCTTGCTCCATCTCTGCCTAGTGAACAACTATGCATGTGACCATGATGAGGCCAGTTTCCATGGTGTGAAATTACTTTTGTGATCTTTGACTCAAGCAGGTCAATGATTTTGTGGAATTTTTCTGTGGACAGCAAGCTGTCTCAACAGCCCTGCGGCACGTCAAGTCCTCAGGGGCACACTTGTCCTCTCAGTTGAATCAAGCACGCTCCTTGAAATCCATGTCTTGTTTCAGGCTGGATTTAAGGGAGCCTCATTTGATATCCTGCTGGATGAGAGTTTTGACTACGCCAGGGCTGCTGGATTCGGGTCTGTTTCTCAAACTTGTATTTGGATTTTTTTATTTCAATTTCTAATTTTCACACTTTCAGGCTGGGACTTTTGGCTATCCTGAAGTCTCGCTCGGGAGCGCTGCACCTGTATGCTTTGCCCTGCAACAGCTTCTGCTTTCCGTTTCTTGTTCGCATATTGTTCACACAAATTTGGAACAAAGGAATAATGTTTTTGGCCATTGTCGATTTTGCAAAATGATCAGGTCGAGTGGAAGCCATCAAAGGAGCATCTTGTTTCCTTTGGGAAACTGCGGAATGCCATTTGTTCAGTTGGGGAACATGTTGTGTTCCCATGTGGCGCTGGCCATTTGGTACAGTACTGTGACAAATTGTATTTGGTTGCTAGAACAGCCACATGGAAGCTTTGCGGAACTTCACCCGCGCTTGCAGACGCTCTTTTCGTCCATGCAGGCAGGGTGGACTTCAGTGATTTGGTAGCTTGCTCATGTTTTTTCATTGTCCAGGTCTTTAAAGCAGAGATCTGGGGCGGTCTCTTTGCCATGGACTCTTCCATGGCGAGGCCAAAACGTCACATTTTGTGGTCCAACGACGAGATGTTTTTGAAACGCCTGGTGGCGTTTGCTGGCACAGCAACGAAGGATCAATTGAACAACATGACTGGGGAACCTTTGGTGAAGCCATGTACCAAACCTGATGGTTCAACGGGCTTTTGCGGCAATGGCAACGCCATGAAGCAGAGCCAGTCATTTGGCTAAAGTCTGTCTATGTGTACATGTCCTTGTAAATACAGTTGTGTAAAACAACATTTGCTTAATGCCAATGGCTGGCCCAAGGACTTACCATCCTGCCTTTGGCTGGTATTTGGCACAGTTGCTGAAGGAAAGTGGCGATCCAAATTGGCCGGCTCTGCGCTCAGAAATCAGCTGTTTTCTCTTTGGCTGAAGTCTGGGGATGAGGCTCTTCCTCGACCCCTTGCTGAGACACCGGCAGGTGTGTTTGACAAGTCCGACCTGGAACTGTTCAAGGACAGATCTGAAACATTTTTTTACTCTCTGTGCTGTAGTTGCTGTTTCCGTAGGAGCTGTCCTTCGAGCACATGGATCCATGGGACGATGTCTGGAACCTAATCATGGAAACATTTCTCTCGAGTAATTAGTCATGATCATGCATGTGATTTGGGGTATTCAATACGGGGCTACATCATCAACGTGAGTTAGAGATATGGTTTGCATCATTGACATATTTCACATGTTTTGCATATGGATTCATTGATCTGCCTTTTGCAGGCCGAAGCGATGCAGTTGATAAAGTACTTGTCCAACAGTAGTGACTTCTTGCCTTCAGACCGTTGGTGCAAGCCTTTGAAACGTGTCTTTAAGTTGGTGCTGCCAACCAGTGCCAAATGAGCACGCAACCATGTTCAATGATGGACTCATGCCCCCTTGTGGCATGCTGACTTTTGAGAAACCCTGACCCGAGAAAAAGCCGAGAATTATCCGAGAAAACCCCCCGTACTTCCGAGAACGCCCCGTGAAAATTCTTGGGTACTTGAAACGGTGTGTGGGCATGTCTGCTGACAGCTCTTGTTTGTCCATGCGTGCAGCTGTTTCACTTTCGCAGTGTCTGTAGGCCACTGTAAGCTTAGTTCCTGGTTCGGCCATGGCTGGCACCGAAGATGTCTTCATGGAGGTGATAAATGAGCTCTCGGCTTCGTTTGGAGGCACTCCTACTGCTGAACAGTTGAGTGAGGCATGTGACCTGTCTCTTGACGAAGCCCAGCAGGTCTTGTCAGAGTTGGGCTTGCTTCCTGGACGTAATGCTCCCAAGGTCAAAGCCACCGCTGCCAAGGCTGCAGCTTCCAAGTCTGCAGCTGCCAAGTCCGTTGCTGTACCACCTCTGGCTGTTGGAGATGAGTCTAATGAAGAGGAGCAGCCAGAACCTGGGTCTCGTCTTGTGCGTGCTGTGCTCCCTGGAACTCTAGAAGTACCCATGGAAGAGGATGATGCGACAGTACACCATCCCAGTCCTGAACCTGCAAGTCCAGCTGATCATGGGGAGAATGGCGAGACGGAACCTGATGAGGTTGAGCTGGTTGAAGAAGCCTTCGCTCCTCGCCTGATGCTGCCTGACAGGCAGCCCACGTCACAGGAGACACCGCTCAGTGGCATGAAGCGCCAACTGAGCTTTACTGAGACCTCTTGCGAGAAGCGTCAGGCTCGTATGAATGCTGTGTTCGTCCATTTGTTGGTTCGAACCTCCATGTTTATTACATGTTATGACAACGTCATGCCATGCCATGCCAGTAATGGCTGTTCCATGCCATGCCATATGCACATGGGTGTTCAATTTTTCACAATGTCATGTTGGTTCATATCCCATGGTTGAAGATATTTTTTTACCAGGTCATGACACGCCATGCCATTCTTGAAACATATGTTTGCTGTTCATTCAGGGTCATTTCGTTGGTAAGTATTCCCCGGTTACATGTAACAGATGGCCCGTTTGCCATGACATGGTACTTCCAATTCGTTTCCTTGCAGGCGCTTTCTTCGCTGGAACACCAGGACTCCCAGAGGCAGGGCCGGGCTTCTTAAACACCTCACAATTTGAAATTGTTTGGCCGCCAGGTCGATTGCCACCCTGCTGCGTGGGCAGCAATTGTTACGCAAACAAGGTTTGGAGTTGGATCTCCAGAACCCAGAGGCCTTGGAGAGCCTGGCCCAACTGCGTGGGTCTCAAGTGCATTGTCAACATGACCATGTTTGTGCTGTGTTCTGATACCCTTCTTGCTACTGTTGGGCCGGGATTGATGTAGTGTATGAGGATCCGTGCTGGTTCTACGGACGCTGCAGCCAGTCCAGTTGAGACACCTCCTCCCACTCGTGCTCCGGAATCTGCGCCCTGTGGAGATACACAAGTCGATGACGCCACGCAGGTTCCAAGTGCCAGTCTGGCTGGTGGAGTGCCTGCTGCTGAGCCTGAACGGTCTACGGTGCCAACCCTGCAGATCCCTGACAAAGAGATCACTTCGACCAACTTCAAGAAAGAGTGGCTTCTACTCGGCCGAGTGGCTGCAGGCCCCCGGGCCACGGAATTTCCTCAAATTGCCAAGGCCTTTGGTAGCGGAACCAAAGCTGAGCAGAGAGATGTCTTGAAGCGATACCTCCAAAATGGAGGCAACCTTGATTGAGGCCATCGAGGCTACGTTTACTGTGGAGAGATCGCATGAGGGAGAGCATGAGGGCACCAAAGAACTCCTGACGATCGATCAGATGAGAAAGCGTGGTTGCAGTGAGCGCCTGGGCTTAATTTAAACACATGGACAGTTCTGCTCTCATCTGTAGGAAAGTATACACCACAATGAAACTAGTATCGTTCAGTAGTCATATGGTTTAACTTAATAGAGTTTGCAACAACAATTGCTTTATAGATTTAGATGATTCTGCATTTTCCTTTAAGACGGAAGCAGAGATTTGAAGCATCGATTGTATATCGCACCAATACATGATATAACGCAGGGGTCTGAGTAATTTATATAACATCTCCATGACGTGGCAGTGCCTGAAGTTTCCATCATTGTTTCATGTCTGCACCCTTGCTTCATCATATGTGGTCATTCAAATGATGTTCTTGGTGCTTGCAGGGCAAAGATAGCGGCCTGCGTAGCCAGGGGCGGCGTGCCTGACAAAGACTGTCCGTCAGATGAAGCGTCTATGCAGTTTTGGTGCCACTTGACTCAGAAAGAAACTACCCGAGACAAGGTGAAGGTCAAAACGAAAGCAACAGCCAATGTTGCTGCTGGTACGGTGGTGGACGCGCTGGGTACAGGTTTCCCATCCCAGAACTTGGTCCACGTTGCCAACCCTGCCCAGATGATAGCCAGTAGAGTTGCGGCTACTGCTGCAAGCTCGCCTCAAGCAGACATGGCTTCGCCTGTGGTTTCAGGACCGTTGCTGGTGAACTCTGTTGTGATCAATTGCTCCTGTTTGTGATCATTTGCTCCTGTAGGACGTGCCAAGGCAAAGGCCAAAGCCAAGTGTCAGCCCAAGGCAAAGGGTCAGCCCAAAGGCCCTCTTGGACTGGACTTGGCAGAGAAAAATTTGGAGCAAAAGAAGGGACTCTTGCGTGCTGCCCTTGGTTATGTTCAGAAAAAGAACAAGTCAAACTCTTTTTTTCCTGAGGTACTGAATTGAAGAAAGAGCTGAACAATCTGAACAGCCTCGTGTTGGACTTGCAGAGTTGTGACTATGACATGAAAGACGGAGAGAACGCCTTGAAGCAGCACATGGCTGTGCTGAAGGGAGATCACACAAAGTGATAGCCTCAATTTATGCTTCTGCTTGATTTGATATCACTTGTGTAATGGATTTGAGGCTTGCATCGGTTTCTACGGATGAGAGTTGGGACAAGTTTTTGCCTACGGTAGCTCCTGTGGTCTGATCCTCAGCCAGGTGTCTGGGAAATAGTTTTTTTCTCGTGTCATTCGTATGTGCTAGGTCACTGCGTCCCGAGTCAAGCGTGCAGAGCTCACTGCTGCTCTGCGAGAGATCCGGAAGTCAGCCTGCCACGGTATTGCGCCTTGATAATTTGAGATCATGATGGACTCAGTTCTCTGCCAGGGGAGCGGCCTGAAGCTGACCTGGCGTATACTTTTGAGTTGATCGATCGACAGAACCTGTGTTTGGCAGTGCTTGGAAGCAGTGTCGCTTCAACACATGGTCAATCCTGAAGATCCAAGCCACCGCTTGGATCACAATGCAGCTTGGGGAACATGGAAAAAAATCAGCTCCGCTACCACACTGTGTCAGTGCTCCGCTACCACAGTGTTATGGCAGTCATGACCCTTGAGCGCAGTCCATTTCTTGACCACATATACTGCTTCCATGACATGCCTACATATATGTGCAGGTACTGATGGACCGTCTTCCCTGCGAAGATCCTTGGATGAAAGGATTGCATTCCATTTGTAAAATTTGCCTGTGCTCTGCAGACCATCTTTATCCATTCCAAATATGCGCAGGATGGCCGCTGAAGTGGGCTTTGGCAATGCTACCCTAGCATCAGCAATGAGACTGGGGAACTGCTATGGGTCAGAAGTGTTCAGGTGCCACTGTGCTGATCTATTGGCCTGCAGCATTGTTATGAATTGATTTTCTGTTGACAGGGGGGGCGCTCGCAAAGATGACCGAGCGCATGCTAAACTCCAAGCGGCTAGCCTCTCTGTGAAAGGAGTCATCACTTGGCATCAGATTCCCATTAAAAATGAAAATGGACACATGGAGTTCAAGTCTTGGCCCATGATTCTGCCACATGACTTGGCCAGGACCTCAGCTGTCTGCATTGGTGCTTGGACAGTGCAGTTGGCGCCATAGGCCATAGCCATGTGCCATATCTATACCTTGTCAATATACTTAGGTCAAAGCTTTGGTTGAAACTGGCCACCGTCCAATGCTGGGCTTTGCCCCGGAAAACTATTGGACGCGCATGGGCGCCATGGGACATCCTAGACCGGCTGAAGGGGATTGCTTGGCACTGCATCTTTATGGGGACGAAGGGCAAATCTTCAATGGAACAGAATACCTCTGTTTAAATTGGATGAGTGAGTTCTCACCCTTCTATCAAAACAGTCGTTACAGCCGATTCCTGATTGCGATGATACCCAGTGACATGTATTGGAAGGCTGCTGTGAAAACAAATTTGACTTTGCAATGTCTATTGCAAGCCATTGTCCAGTCCATACAAACGCTTGAAACTACAGGCGCAGGTGGGCTCCATGCAACCTGTGTTGTTTTCAAAGGCGACTGGAAATTTTCGGCGCAATCAATGTCTTTACGTCATCACCCAGGCACAGACAGAATTTGCTGGTGCTGTCCAGCGACTAAGAGCTTGAGGTGCCCTTACGTGGATATGAGTCCACATGCCTTGTGGAGAACAACTCCAGATGGCGATGAACCACCATGGCACTCAGAGCCAGCCATCAAGAGCTTGACTCACTGGCCGATCATCGGCCTAGATCTCATGCATATGTTACACCTTGGGGTCATACGTGACCTTGTTGGCAGTGTGTTGGTCCTTCTCATTCGTTGCAGATTCTTCTCCGGCAACAAGGCAGGGGACAGCACTAATTTCCAAAAAAAACATATGTGATCATTTTTTTTGGCAGATTCAGTACCATGTCTTTGCCAGGCAGAGCAGCGGATGCATGATGCTTCTGTCAAGATCAAAGAATGGGCCCGGCAGCATTCTGACAAACGGTTTCCTAAGACCTGGAAGCTAACCAAAGCACGGTTGTCGCTGAAGACCGGAAAACCTGTGCACTTGACAGGAAAAGCTTGGCAGGCTGGTGTCATCTTGGAATACCTGGCGTTTTTGTTTGAAAGCACTGATGTGCCACAACTTCCAGACGATGTGAAATCTACAGTGTGAGTGTGGGTTTGCAATAATTTGATGGGCCTTCTACATTCTGCTCGTGCTCAGGGGCTCTTTCTTCAACCAGAGGAAATTCAGCAGGGACAGGTTGTGGGGAATTACTTTTTGAGAACTTTCGTTGCCTTGAACAGGAAATACTTGAAGACTTGCCTATTTCGACTTTTTCATTGCAGACCGAAACTGCATTTGGTGGCACACATGGTGGACGCTTTGTCTAACCAGAGGAATCCAGTTGTGGACTGTCTGTGGATGGACGAAAACTGGATTGGCCAGATCATGCACTTGGCCAAGAAAACGCACAGCAGAAGAACACATGCCTCGACACTTTTTCGCTACTGCGCAGGACTGTCTCGCCTGCTTTGTTTCTTTTTGAGTTGCCTTCTATTTGAAGGACTCAAAGCAGCCCTGCGTGAAGGCATGAAAATCTTGGTCAGGGCCTCAGTTCTTCCTTTCGTCGGGACCTCAGTTTTTCATGACATGACATGTGGTTAAAAATACATGTGGTTTCGAAACGTTCTGTGGAAACATGCATGTGGATTCATCATGTCATGATGTTGAAACATGGGGTTGCATAACATGTTGTTCAGGTACATGTGCTTCCATGACATGGTATTGAAACATGTGGTTCCATGACATGTTGTTTACCATGTGGTTTCATGACATGTTGTTTACCATGTGGTTTCATGACATGTTGTTTACCATTTGGTTTCATGACATGTTGTTTATCATGTGGTTTCATGACATGTTGTTTAACAAGTGGTTTCATGGCATGCTGTTTGAAACATGTGGTTTCATGTCATGTTGTTCATGTGGTTGCATGACATGTTGTTCAAACATGTGGTTTCATGTCAAGTTGTTAAGAAATTTGTTGGTCCGGGCCTCAGTTGTGTGGTGTGTATGCTTGCAAGTGCTGCTCTTTGAAGCTGTTTTGTGCTGATGCGAGCCTCATATTGAGGCTGGCAATGATATCCGGGCGGAGGGCGCGTTGCACGGACACTGCGACCGATGAATGGTTGAAAAAGATGTTGCTGCTTCGCAATGGGCATGTGTGGCGGCAGACGCATATCATCCGTTCATCTATTGCTTGATCTTTGGAACTGGAGGGTTTTCTTGGGGTTAGGGGGGTTTTCTTGGGACTACAGATCCATCGTGGGTTTTTCTTCAGGAATGCCCCTCTAGGCAGGGTCTTTGATGTGGGTGACAACGCCTTTTGTTGAGTTGGCGCACCGAGTTGCTCATTTGATTGCTTTTTCTTTTCATACTTGTATGTTTGCTGCGAAACGGAAGAAGGACACCGCCATTTGGACGTCTGTACCTCAGTTGAAACAATACTTGGAGAGAAAGTGCGATGGTAGCCACCCACATTTGCCGTGGGGCAGAACTGCTTCCGGCTTTGCTACAGCTGAAGAATGTGCGTACAATGACAATTTATTATGTGCAGCTTGGGCAGGAGCCATAGCCGATTTTGCAGCTACACACAATTTTGTTCCTCTGCCCGGCACTGTGGATCAACTTCAGCCGCAGTTTTCAGGCACTTCGTACCTGAACAAAGCCATTTTGGGTTGCTTGCCCAGAGGGTGGCTGAGCAAAAAGCATCACTGATGCTGCCAAGCTCAGATGGCAGAGCCTCCAATCTGAGAAGGCCAAGATTGCTGAGCAACAAGAAAAGGCTAAGGCAAAGCTCTCTAAGCTCAAGGACATCACCTCAGTTGCCTACATGACTGCTCAGGAGCAGCTGGACAAGAACTCAGCGAGGTTCACCTGGAAAAACTTCTCTGAGGCATCAGTTCACAAGGCCAAGCTCCATCAAGCTCCTGCAGCCTCAGGTACCGCTTGCACTCAGAGGCTGCCAAGGTCAAGAAGTTGCCCTTTCTCAGCACAGGGCCTGGGGATCTGGAGCAACTGCTCAAGTCAGCCACCTGACTATCTCAGCAAGCTCAGCTTCAGCACCTATTTCTTCGAGCTCAGCTGCACCTACCTCATCAACATCAGCTGGAACTGCCTGAAGCTCTACTGAGACTGAGTGATTTGCAGCTTTGCACTGAGCAAGGCTCAGTGCTCTTCACCTTCGTTCTGAGCTATTTTTCTCATGATTTTTAAAGCTTGCATCAGCATCGGCTATCAAATCCAGAGGCAATGCCAAAAAAGTTCATCAGCTTGCATGTGCTGCATGTGGAGGAATTTCAAACAAATGTTTGGGTGCTGTTTTGTAATTAATGGATATTAATGGAGTTTTAGTAAGGCATCTTGAAATGAAAGTAAAACAGAGAAAAGTAATCATTAGCAAAGGAAAGGAACAGTAAAGGAGAGAAGGATTTTGGATTTTGCTTACTTCAAAAAAAAAGCTTGACGCAATATTGGGCCCCCACAACAAACATACTAATTGAGGATCAGGGTTGCTCATGGACTACCCCCTTGAAAAATTGTTTGAGTGCTGTTTTTTTTTATTGGGTTTTGATCAGGCGTCCTATATTTTGGAAATTAGACAGTTTGAGAATTCCAAAATAATGGCGCTAAGAAAGTAAAAAAGAGAAAAGTATTACAAAGGAAAGGAAAAGGAAAGGAGAGAATAATTTTGGATTTTTCACTTCAAAAAAAAGCTTGACGCAATAGTGGGCCCCCACAACAAGCACACTATTGAGGATCAGGGTTGCTCATGGACTACCCCCTTGAAAAATTGTTTGGGTGCTTTTTTTAATTTGGTTTTAATAAGGCATCCTATATGTTGGAAATTAGACAATTTGAGAATTCCAAAAGAATGGAGCTAAGAAAGTAAAAAGGAGAAAAGTATTAGCAAAGGAAAGGAAAAGGAAAGGAGATAATGATTTCGGATTTTTCGCTTCAAAAAAAGCTTGACGCGATAGTGGGCCTCCACAACAAACATACTATTGAGGATCAGGGTTGCTCATGGACTACCCCCTTGAAAAATTGTTTGAGTGCTTTTTTTTATTGGGTTTTGATAAGGCATCCTATATTTTGGAAATTAGACAATTTGAGAATTCCAAAAGAATGGAGCTAAGAAAGTAAAAAACAGAAAAGTATTTGCAAAGGAAAGGAAAAGGAAAGGAGAGAATGATTTTGGATTTTTCACTTCCAAAAAAAGCTTGACATATTAGTGGACCCCGACAACAAACATACTAATGTTGTCGACTGA